GGACATGGTGGAACCACAACATGGCTAAACCGAGGACACGAAAGCTTACCTTGCAAGCTAACACCCAAAGCCAAGAGTCCACAGCTCAAAGTCCAAACACAGCAGATTCACAATCTGTTATGGACCAATACTATATCAATAACAATGCACCACAAGCATATAACTTAAAGACAACGTCTTTCCTTTACGTTTTACGTCTTAAGGCTCCATACCAAGCCATAAGCCCCTTAATCACTTGATTCTAACTTAGTTCATTAATTACAGAAGTTCAACTTCATCAAACTAAGGTCCACAAACCCCTAATAGCCTACTGTACAAACAGCTCAGCTACTGTTCTTCGAAATCCCAGAATATTCGGATATTCCTCGGGACCATATCCGGATATGCAATATCCGGATATCTCACTGTACATATCCGGATATACAATATCTGGATATCCAGATTCCCGTATCCGGATATCCAAATCCCATATCCGGATATCACATATCCGGATATTTCTCGGGCAGATATCCGGATATTTCACGACAGAATGCAGAAACTGCATTTCGTGAAGATATCCTTCCAAGGTTAGGCTTTTAACATTTAATTACGTTAAGGCATGCATCTTTATACTGATTTAGGGTCATACTACTGTTGGTTACTTGTTTAACTCTTTTAAACATACCAAGACACCTCTTTTAGTCATCAAACACATGATCAAGGTTGGTACAACTCACCAAAGCTCAAAACAGAGGAAGAAAGGCTCTTGGAGCTCTCAAATCTGCCTCTACAGGTCTGACCTTCAAGGTACACGAAAATGACTTCACAAAGGTTGGTTCTTTCTTACCAAAGGTCACCACTTGGACCTCAAAGTGCCATAACCAAGGCTCACAACAATCAACTCACAAACTCAGAACCTCTCCACCTCACTCACAGTGACAAGAACTCATAAGAGCCCTCACACTCCCACACCAAGCAAGCTCTCACAAGCCCCAAGGTATTTGGAGAAGAAACCAAGGAGAAAGGAAGCTCCTTGGCTCATCACAATGGAGGAGAAGGTGGGAAAGGGTGGCTGGAGGTGTTTCAGAACATGGAGGCACGTAGGAAATCTGGTCTAGGGTTTTCTGTCCAATGATTAGAGTATATATAGCCACTTTCAATTAAAACACATAATATTAACTTTAATTGCTACGCTTAACATTTTAATCCCAAACTATGGATTCTTAACCTACTCAATTTTACAAGAATTATCATATTTTTCTTATAATTTTCAGAGCATCTTTTCGGTACGCGTTTTTCAAAGCCAGTACCAGTTTCTAGCACCAGTTCTCATTATTTGGACTTGAAACTCATTTTACAAGTCCTACATATTATTCTAGTTTATTACCATGCACTTATTATAAATTTTCGGGATACTTTTTTGGTACGCAATTATACCGACTAGCAGAACCGGTATCTACACTTTTCTTCCGAAAAGCGATTTTCAGCATTCTTACTCACTAACTATAATTATTAAAGCCTCATAATAATTATTAAGGTCAATTATGAAATCATTTCCTAATTTTGCATAATTAATTAAAATTCCTTAATTATGGAATCATTTCCTGCTCGTTTCTCTCTCTTTTTCACTCTCTATTAACGGCTCAACATCTAAGCATCTCTTATAAACAAGAGATTTGGGCACTCATTAATTTGGGCCAAGTCCATCATAGGCCACGAACCCAACAATATGGTTATGATTTTTCATATGACCATGTCATTTTTTTTTTCACATGAGAGGATCCAGATCCAATTTTTAGTACATCATTAGAATTTTAGCTTCACATAAATTTAATGGTAATTTTTGGTATATGTGTCGGCACTGTCGCTATATATGTGTGTGTGTGTGACAAAATTCTTTGACATTGGTGTCAAACTTTTTAGCTTGACACCAAATTCTAACCGTTGATCAATCTTAATAAATTATAAGTGTTAGATTGACAAAAATCAACAGTTAAGATTTGGTGTCAAACTTTTTAGTTTGACACTGGTGTTAAAGGATTTTGTCATATATATATATATATATATATATATATATATATATATATATATATGAGGCTGGATATTCTAACACTGGTGTAAGACTAGGAGATCTTACACCAAATCTTGGTCATTGATTTGCTTGCATCTAATAGCTCAAATATCTAATAAATCAGAACTGTTAGGATTAACGATTAAGATTAAGAGTGTAACTTACACTGATGAAAAATAATTCTGACATATATATATATATATATATATATTATTCAATTAAAGGTGTAACTTATTTGAAATGGTTCGAGCATCAAGTGAATTTGAACTTAATAGTGAGGGGTGTTTATAGATACAATGTTAAGGATTTGAGTTCATGAAAAATATTTGTAGCAAAAAAACAATTTTAATATCTAGAATACGGAATAATGATGCACCTGAAAAATATGAAAAATAAAAATAGTCATGAAAAAATGCAGTGTTACCCTCTGATGAGTTATGATTTAAAAAACTGACATGACTTCCTTGTTAGTGTATATAAATTTAGGGGGTTGAGTTTCTCATGTTACTCGAGACCTTACCCTCTTCCTGTACAGACGCAAAAGTAAATATATATATATATATATATATATATATATCAACTACAAATGGGCCCTATATAAAAAATTGTGCCTATAACAAGAGAAGTGATGTTTCCTGTTGCAAGGGAAATATAATACCCATAAATTTATACATGAAGCCTTACCAATTGTTTTAAGGGTCCTGTTTTTCTGCAGCAGCGACAGAAAAATAATGTCCGCCTTAGAGGCAAAAATTGGGACCCACTAGTTTTTCTTTTTGAAATTTTTTTTTAACCAGGATCCAAATTCATTTCTTAATAAAAAAAATCAATCAATTGAGATAATTACACAAAGGGATATTTTACATATTTAACTTCAATTATAAGTTCTATTTATTATAAATATTCAATTTTTAAAAATAATGTTGTAAGAAAGTAGTTATATCATACCATAGAAACACCAAATGTGGGGTCCACCTGTTTTTTAAAAAAAATTGTTTACCAGGATCCGACTTTATTTCTTAATAAAACAATCAATCAATTGAGATAATTACACAAAGGGATATTTTACATATTCAACTTATAATATAAGTTCTATTGATTATAAATATTCAATGGGATTTATAAGAAAAATATTGTAGGAAAATAGCTGTATCATGTCATAAAATCACCAAATGTGGAGCTCAGCTATTTAAAAAAAAAAAAAATCACACATTTCGATGGATCTGTTGAAAGCAAACCCAATTTCCTACAAGATAACCAAAGCATAATCCATATTCAATTCATACAAACCGTAAACTCAATTATCCCCTCTATAAAAAAAGAAGAAGAAAAAGAAATGAAAAACTATTATGGCTTTGATATTTTCCATGCTCTGGTCGTTTTCATTCCTCTTTAATTGCTAAAGGTTGCTTTTCCAAAGGTGGGGTTCGGGGTTATCATGTGGTGAACAGAAAAAAAATTTGGTGCTCCAAATTCTACGTAGAATAAATTTCTAGTGCTATTATTGTACCAAAAATTCAGTACATCTTACCAATAAAAATATTATATCTCAGCTAAAATTTATTTTTCTTTGTCAAATTTTTTCTCTCTCCTATAATATGTAATGCTTTTATTGGTGGGATGTACTGAATCTTGGTACAACAGTAGCACCAAAGATGTATTAAATCTTGGTACAACAGTAACACAAAAGTTTTTTCATAAGAGAGAAAAAAAATTAGCAAAGAAAAATAAATTTTAACTGAAACATGATATTTTTATTAGTGAAATGTACTAATTTTTTTTTTTTTTTTGATAACAATGTACTAAATTTTTAGTGCAATCAATCAGTTGTACCAAAAATTTATTCCCAACAAACAACATCACCCATGATACAAGACTGTAACCTAGGGAATGCCCCCGTAAAATTCGGGCTTCATATATAACGTTATGTTTGCTATCCTAAGAAACGCCAAAAAGTTATAGGATATTAAATATGAGTCTGAAGGTGATATGTTCAAGTTTTCTTCCACAGCTGTTAGCGACAAATTCACTGAGAAAAAGGGCTCAAATAAATTAATAAAAAAGTTAACTTCTGAAGAAATTGATTTTTTTTTTTAAATTCTTAAACAATATTTTATGCAACTTGCTAAAATGATTTAATATACAAAAAAATAATTAATGTCAATATAAAATTATTTAGGCAATTACTCGATTATACATTATTTATCAACAAAAAACTTGAACTCTTTTAATAGTCACTTAAAAATTTAAACGGTCATAATGATCTGTCAACTTATCATTAACAATAATATTATTCATACATTATGGGAATAACATTCCTGCACAGAAAAAAAAAATCAAGAGTGAATTCATCATTTAATTAACTTTTTCTCTTCTTGTAAGTTTTTTCCCTTAATTTACTCTTGATGGTAGAAATTTTTTTCAGCCACAAATACAGAAATGTTATTCCCTACATTTATATATATTTTTTCAGAAAAATATTTCTGCAATTACGGCAGATAAATTATCTGCATTAACTTTCAAAACAAAGTCGAATTTGATGTTGAAATATTAAAAAGAAAAGTAAAAAAATGAAAATATAAGAATGTGTTATATACATATTATAATATAGATGCAATATGATTAAATGGTATTACGCATCAAAATCAAATGTATATGAATTTGTAGATTTCTATAAGCAAGCTCAAAAGATAAATTTAAAACCAAAAAGATAATCCCAATCATGGCCTATCAGGACAAAACTTTACATCGTATAACTCAATTTGCACTCATCCCAAGCTAGCATAATCATGTGAAGGATCCCATTTTGAGATTTGCTTTATGTAAAGATCAAATTCGTCATGAACCCCAACCAAAATTAAAAATCTCTACCATCTAGCTTTTGATCTAAGACAATTAAAACATTGCTCCGGATAATTAAAAAAAGAAAAAAGAAAAAGAAAGAGAAAGAGAGTTTAAACTTTAAACTTTAAACAAAAACATTAACGTCTTAAAGGCAAAAAGATAAAAACAGAACCCAATATTGTTTACTTCATACGAATTTATGAACTCAACCCACATACCCTACAAACCTAAAAGTAAACATTTACATAAAAGAGCAGAACCCTCAGCGTTCGCCGGAATATCCTGTCTCCGTCACCTGAAAATACCGCTTCAGGCAACCTTAAAAAGTTTACCTTGATCGATGTTTAGCGGGTTTCGTCCGTTGGCTCTTGTCCCCTGCTTTTCCAAAAGCGCCACAAAACCCACAAGCCGAAAGCCTAGGAGAGGGCGGCTCAATCGCCGGCGACACTTTTCCGGTACGGTAGCCACGTCCTCCACCGTTGGAGCGGCTTCTCTCGACGGTGTTGATTGATCCAAGTGGAGGTGGTGGTTGTTGTGGTGGAGCATGAAGCTCTTTAATCTCAACCTTATCATGATGTTCTTGGTTCTCTTCTTTGTGGTTAACTTTATTCAATTCCTCAGTTAAGAACCTATCCTCCCAAACAAACCCAGATGAACCCTGTCTCCTGAAGGACACAGCAGATCTTTGCAAACCAGCCATGTCCTCTCTCTCTCTCTCTCTCTCTTCTTATCTGGATCTTTCTATAGCTTCTTGGGAGCAATATACCTATGAATTTCTATTAAGTGTTGTTTCGTGTATGACTTTTCCTCAATATGCATTTATAAAAAAAATAAGAGAGAGAAAGGGACAGTTGGTGAAGAAACTGGAGAAGAGTGGTTAATAGCAAGGCAACCTAGTCAATTCATCCGAAACAGTTATCAAAGTGTCATTTTTGGTAAAAATTTTATTAGATTATAATTTGTTATCACTTGTAGCGAATTTTGTGGCTAATAATTTCGTGATACATGATTATATTGCATATTAAATTCGTGATCACTGGTAGTGAATATAATCTAGTCAGCTTTTTCTTGCAATAGTATGTCATGTGTCATAAAATCATTGACGAACGTAATTTATTACTAATAGTAACAAATTATGTCATGTGGCGGTTTGATAAAAAATACCGTTTACATGACATTTGGATAAAAAAAATTTGTCAAAAAGTGACATGTTGGTCACTGGTGCTTTTCTAATGTTAATGTATGTGTTATATAAATATTTTTAAGGAATTATATTTTCGTATGCAATAGGAGATAAAATATTTCATATTACACTCATAAACTTATGTGGATCCCACTATACAAAAAAAGAGAAAAAAAAAGTTGAAGTAGGTTTCGTACCTTTTTGAATATGTAGGAGAAATTTATTATCTCTTATCAAATGAGGTTAATATTTTCTCATTTTTAAAGCCATTATTAATGTAATTCAATATATGCACAAGAGTACATTGAAGGCACAACAATAAAATATTTTTTTCATTGCTTTAAATAATATTATTAAATGTATGGAGTAAATGCATTCTTGAGAAAAAAAATTAGTTTGTAACATTATCTTCAATTATATTAAAAAATTATTTTGTAAACGTAAAATATTTAAATCAATAATTACATAAATAAGTATCGACATAGATTGAATCATATTATATGCAATTTTATAGGTTTATGTTGACTTTTGAAAATTGTACACATGAAAAACTTCAGAAAATTACACAAATCTAATTAATATAATATTAAAAAATTCAAGGCCTGAAACGCTTGTTTTAATGGCTTTGCACTCGGATCGGTACTACCTTGTCACGGCTTTCACTTTCTATGTAACCTAATTTTAAAAATTGATTGTGGTGGGTTTTTTTTTTTAGGATAAGAATTAGGTGGTGGGGTGTAAAAAAATAAATAAATAAAGACGGTGATGACTTTGTGGGCAACTTAGCATGACACGCGGGTGTTAGGTCCACCAAGTGAATGTGCACACTCCCTCCACTGCCCCTTGTCATTATCAATCAATGAATGAAAGGCAGAAAATGCATTCATATTTCATATCCTTATCGCCTAAAAAAAGAAAAGAAGTTATAATACTATCAAAGGTTGGTTCAATTGGTATGTCAATGTTTTCAACTCGAATAGGATTGTATCTGGTAGAAATTTTTTGTGATTTATCGAAAAAAATATATTATAATACTTGAATATCGAGATATTATTTGTGTTATGGACCTGTATAATGGGCTTATTAAGTAGCAAGTCCAACAAGGGGCACTCCAAGATATGGATTGATGCTAATAAAGGATAGATATCCTTCAAAGATATTAATTCTAATGCGACAGAATAGTTATCAGGCCTGGACCCTCACTGTAGGAACTAAAGGCTCATCCACACTACCTACAGTCTATAAATACAAAGGCAAACTCTAAAGGTACACATATTCTCTCTCTCTCTTATTGTTATGCTGTCACTGTGCGCACATACACCTCATTGGCTAACGCCGTTATAGTATTCTGTGCACAGTGATCTGCTTGACTCAAGGGTATCTCCTTCATAAATACCTTGGAGAGTGCACCAGATCCAACATTAACGTACTAGCCTAATTGGGCTAGACATTTCTGTCTCAAGGACAGAACAATTTGATACCATTGATTAATAATACTTAAAATTTATAAAAAAAATTAAAATTAGAGTCGTATAAAAGATAAAATAAATCAAAGATAATTTATTTGTTTTTTAGTTTATTATTATATTAAATGATGTATTAAACTATTAATAATATTTATTTATTTATTAACTCTGAAAAAAAAAATTATTAAGGCTGATATTAAGGATGTATTTTTTATTTTAATCACAAGAAATTTATTTATTAAAAGTGGCATTAAAACTTGAAGAATAAAAAAAGGCATAAGTCCTAAAAGCAAAATAATTCAATTAAATCATTGATAATAAAATATACAAATCTGTGTCATTTATTATATGTTTCTTGTACTATATAAATTAACATATGGTTATCGAATTGAATTTTATATTATTAACTTGAAAAGTTTCACATAAAAACAATTTTTAAATTATTTACTTAATTACAATATTGTGTTAATTTAACGTATGATATTGTAAAATGAAAAAAGAAGTCAACTGACCCGAAATATTAAACTCGAATCGACTTTTCGTCACGCTCCCTTGGAAAACAAAAAAAGCAACAATAATATATACATAATTTGGTTTATTGTATACTGAGATAGACACAAACAAGTGGCATTTTTCATTCAAGAAACATCTTCAGAGTATTTGATTTACTAATGCAATTGTTTTATTCTTAAATACATTTCATATACTATATTTTGAAAATTGACAACTTCCTACCCATAGTTGCTTACGCCTTGCAGAATGAAGTCAAAATATGACCTGGGAGTATTAAATTTGAATCAATATTCTTTGGTCACGCTACCTGAGAAAACAAATATCAACAATAATATATACATAAATTTGGTTTAGTCTGCAAATTACATCTTCAATAAGACTTCATAACTGTGTCGTAGAAAGTAAGCTACCGTATGACTCTGAGAAAGGAAGAAAAGAATATGGCTAGTCAGGGATTCTGCTCGGTACATTAATATTACTTTCTTAAAAATTATAGATTGAATAATAAAAGTTACAAATTAAGTAATAAATGTTAAAAGTTACAGACTAAGTAATAAAAAGTATACATTTGTAAGATTTGCATATTTTTATTGAGGTGAGATATTGTAACAATCAATTAGTGTTACTATCAATCAATTTCACTGTTAGATCGATTATATTGATCTAACGGTTATATTTATTTTCATATTTGTATATATGATTATGATTTCTCATATTTAACACTTTCGCATTAAATATGAAAAATCATAATCATACAAAGGTGAAAATAAATATAAAGTATTAAATATGAAAAATCATAAACATACAAAGATTGAAATAAATATAATCGTTGGATCAACATAATCGATCTAACGGTTAAATTAATTGATAATAACATTAGTTCGTAAATAATAATACTAATTGGTTGTTACAATATTCTTTCCCATTTTTATTACTCAATTTGTAATTTTTATTATTCAAATCATGTCTAGAAAATGTTTCTTGAATACAATTTTTTTTTCCAAAAGGTAATTATTCAAAACAGATTCGTCAAATTTATATATTAAAAAGTTGTCATATTAATCACGATCATCAATCATGAACATAAAAACGACTGCTCAAATAATGGATCAAAGTCATCAAAGTTGACACTAGAGCTATGGTACTAGCATTCAATTATGGCTCCAAAACTAATTTACATATTATGAAATGAGTAGTCAATGAATGAATACTAACGACATTGAGATTTAAATAAATAAATACATAAATAAAATGGCTATTTGATCTTCAACTTTTGATATATTATACACCAAGGGATTGCAACTTGCACCTAATTGATTCGTGTGGCATGAGATTTCAATCAGTTCAGTCCACTAGCTTACAAAAAAAGAGGCAACCCATTAATTAAGATCATGAATCAATTTGAGGGAGAGGGAGAGTGAACATTTTGCCACGTTTTGGCAAAAAAATTATCAGAATGTCACGTGAATAGTAAAATTTTCCAAACTGCCACGCGGCATAATTCGTTACACAGTATAGCGAATTATGTATGCAAATAATTTGCTACACAATGTAACGAAATATGCCACGTCAGAACCAAAAAGTGCCATGTGTCAAAATTGTTGAAATTCGCTACCCTATGTAGCGAATTTCCATTCTGACACATGACACTTTTTGGTTTTGTGTATTCTGACGTGGCATATTTCGTTACACTGTGTAGCGATTTACTTGCATACATAATTCGCTACACTGTGTAGCGAATTATGCCGCATGGCACTTTGAAAAATTTTACTGTTCGCGTGACATTCTGATAATTTTTTTGTCAAAGCGTGGCATTTTGGTCACTGTCCCTCAATTTGACATGACTCATAATTTGCAGATTATTTAGGTTCGAGCTAGCTTGACTTTTTATATAAAAAATAAAATAAAATAACAAAAAATCTATTTTCTCTTTTTTCTCTTTTTTTTTAAAAAAAACATGGTCTGTGCGTGAGACGTTTTCATGTTTGAAATTTGAAAGATCAGCAGATTTATGTGATGAACCCTGGTCCGCATGCCGCCGCCAAAGAATTACGTTAGGCCACCGAGAACAATGGCGAACTGCTGCAAGCCGGGACAAACTTGGCGGAACACCCCCACAATGAATAGATAAGTACTTATAAATATTAGTTCAGAATATTTATAAATATTGTTTCATTATCATTTAATACGTAAGTATTTCATTAATTCACCAAAACAATAAGTCAAAACTATTTCCCCTAATCCCCTTGAAAAACGAATGATTATGGAACGAACATTATATATTGCACTCAGACCTCAATATTTTTGTTTAATAAATAAGATAATATTACGAGTTCTAATATTTACAAGTCATCCGTATTTTATGCATCTAACTTTAACTTTAACTCTTCAATCAATTTGATATTGCTAAACCACCAAATCTGCTAAGATCCGATAAAAAGATTTACGGGTCGCCCAGGTACCAGTTTCTCAACCTCCTATATTTTGTTTCGGGCCATATAGGACAGGATCTTTTGATACTGGTATTAAATTTAAAGTTTAACACTTATCTGAGAATCGTTAGATAAAAAAAGATCGACGATTCTGATTTGTCAAAGGATCCTACTCTACTCCTATATATATATATATATATATATATATATA